ATTTTTATTTTGGGCTTAGGAGCGCAAGTCATTTGATGAAAAGTTTATTCGAATGGACACAGAAAGTCTCTGTGAGTTGACATCAGCTGCTTACAGCCTTCAGTTGAAGCCTTTAGTTGGTCTCACTATTCGTGCACTGGCACGAATTGTTGAAGGGAAAACTCCTGAGGAGATACGTGAGATATTTCATTTGCCTGATGATCTTACTGAGGTGTCAGGTCCCGGGGGCACTGCTCTTCAGTAATTCTCTTCTTTTTGCATGTTAAAGAGAGAAAAAAATAAAAAATAAACAAACAGACCAACCTGAATCTCAGGCTGATTGTATTTCTTATAAGTAATTATGAATAGAGGGTTGGATTCCCTTAATATTAAAGTCTTAATCTTTTATTAATAGTGAAAAGAAATGCAAGGGTTTTATTTTTAATTCTCTTAAAAGTATATATAATTCTCTCCTTTTTCTTTATTTTTACTCATCTACCTCATTAATTTTCATGAGTTAATTCAAAATCCAAAAAAGAAAGAAAAGTAATGTTGTTAGTTGTTTTTTTTTTACAAAACCTTACATTAAGCTCCCAAATTTATCTAGATTTTTTTATTAAAACTTTAAACTTTCATGAAAAAAAATAAGCTATTGAATTTAGCAATATAGGCAATTTAATCTATTTTCTTTACAATAAACTTAATACCTATTTATATATCATTTCATTGCTACATGATTGGTATTGATTTTGTTAGTGCAAGTAAAGTACAAATTGATATTAATTTTGCTATAAAGAAGATGGTTAAATTACTTAAATCCACAAATTCAATGACTTATTTGCTTCATAAAAGTTGAAAGACTTAATTGAGAATTTAGGGTAAATTTAGGGGCTTAACATAAGATTTTGCCCCTTTTTTTTTTTCTTCTTTTTATGTATTATTATGTCATCATTTTTCTATTTACTATTGACTTACATGGAATTTAGAGGATGTCTCTTTTCCCCCATAGAGTTAAACCAAACCATTCTCATTTTAGCCTAATTACAGCATTAATTATTTTTTATACATTCCCTGAAAAAATAAAAGAAAAATGAAAAAACAAAAAACAAAGAAATAACTATCATCAATTAATTAATTATTAACAACTTAAATAGTTTAGTAATAATTTTTTTTTATTAAATAAAAGATATTAAGTTTTAATCATATAACATGGGAATAAAATAAAATAAAAAATGAAACATAATTATTAGCTCTCATTCTGTAATTAAATTAAAGAAAAAAAAAAACTGTCATCAATTAATTAATATAAAAGGAGGGACCGGGAGTGGACAGTACCTAACGGGCAACAGCTAACCCAAACCAACCCAGCAAGAGCTAGGGTTCACGTGCGGTGACGTTTTATCATCGGACCCTCGCCACGAACAGCGATGTGGTGCGCCCTCTGGACACAGAAAAGGGTCTCCCGCATATTTTATATCCTTCCAAAAATGTAAGAATTAATTAAAAAAATAAATAAAAGGTTTAATAATAGTAACGACTGTATACTATTATTCCCTTCCTTTCTCTCTCTCTCTCTCTCTCTCTCAACATCCACACTCTCCTGCCTCCTCTCTCTTATCCGTTTCTCTGTTCGCCGACAGCCGCCAAATCCCACCGGTTCAAAGCTTTGTCATCGCCGGAATCGCCTCCGTTCTTCTCTCAGGTACACACCGCTGTTGCATGTTTAAGCTTCAGTAAAATAGATGTGCAAACGATATATCAAGGAGATTTCTTCGCATTTGTTCATGTATACGAATCGATTCGCTTGCCTGAACATTCATTTCTCTAC